TCCATAGCTTATAGGTTAGGTTAGTAAGGTTTGTCAGAAACAAGACAAGTGCTTCCTGACGCAGGTCTTAGTCATATGATGACCCGCTGTTGGAGCTTCTAGTCACTTGGACCAAGGCCTTTGGCTGGCTTCCGGTCCACCTCTTTAAAAATTATGGTCATAATTATAACCATTCATAGTGAGTGGTGAATGTATTTATTGTAGGAAGTCTGAATAAATGAAGAATGGGTATAACTGAAAACTGCTGCATTAGCAAAGTGCTGTAAAGCAAGGCACTGTAAAGCAGGGTCCTCCTATACTGATGTACCTTGCAGTACATCAGTCATGTAATTTGCCATCTTCATGAGCTATAATTATGAACAGTCCAAAGGAAATAACAGTAATAAGGTAATACATATAATTTTATTTGTGTTATCTTTTGTCTCACAAAGAAGCACTAGACCCATGGGGGTCATTTAGAGCTGAAAGTTTAGTAAGCAATGCGCTTTACCTAAGAGCTTTGCCTATACTATACCTGTAATAATAAATGGTCAGAAAAAGGAATGTATCATGAATTCTCAAGTTAAAAAAATGAGGCACAACTGAAGTGTGTTACTTATAACCATTAGGTTTATTTACAATTTTGATATAATCATGCCTCTTTTTCAATGGTATCCAACTTGCGTTTTATTTCATGAAGGCGTTTATATTCCTTACTTACAGCTCTGAGTTTTAACTGTGTTGTAGCACACTGAGCAATCAACTGAATGGCTGTCTTGAAGTCCTGTTGTGCATGCTTTAGAGTCTGAGGTGGTAAAACTGAAAACCAGCGGATTGGATCACGATTTATGGGTTTCACTTTGACACTGCTTCCCTTTTTCAAGTCACTCTCACTTACTTCATCAGAAGTTTGTTTTCCATCAACTTTTGTTCCCCTTTTTCTCAGTCCTTGATTTTTATTATCATGATCATTGCCCTCTAAAGATATCATTTTACCTGTCTCATCATCCTGAACTGTAACTATAGGATCCAAAAACTTAGTATCAACAGTGTGATACATGATGTCACCAGAATAATTCTCCAGAACCACTGGCGTGCTAATTACTGCCGCAAGAGATTTCACTTCACTTTCACTGGTTGGTAATTGCAATGAACTGACTGCATTCATGCCAAGTGTGAAGCGTGTCTTGCCTAAGTGGAAGAACCCACTCCTCAGATTTTCTTCCAAGCACATGTTGCTCTAAAATGTAGAGAAACAGAACCACAGCATCAGAAAAAATAATTAAAAATAAAATGAATAAAGTCATCCCTATAAATTCTCAGACTCCTCTCCTTTGTGATTTTGATTATCCAATGTTTTACCCAAAGGGCAACTCATGAATAGACTTAATTACTTAATTATGGATGAAAGAACACATGCATATACCTAGAACATTTTTATTGGATACATTTATTTTAGTCCTGGAACCTTAGGCGCTCCAAGAAATACAAGAGAATGAGATAGCAAAGTCTATATAATAGAAAATTCAATAATAAAGGTGAAGGTTTTTCGCAATATCATTTCTAACAGTCACATGGCTCGTATGTTGACACTGTTGTCATATACTGCATAAGACTTGTGGTAACATACTAAACCTTCTTCATAAGCTCAACAAAGTACAGTATAATCAAATTCACTTTTGAAGTGGAAAATGAAGACAAACTACCATTCCTTGATGCCCTTCTATGCAGGCCACTCAATGAAGTTTGTCTTTTATGGTCTACAGAAAGACCTTACTCATTTCTATTCGCACCATGATAAGCACCAAAAGAGGTGTGACTGGGTTTTCCATATCTCCAGTCCTGAATTCCTAGAAAAGTTCCAGTACATTAGCCATACCTTAACATGCTTATACGTACTTCTTTATACAAAAGTGCAGATAAAGGCAACTCTAACAACAATGCCTTTATCAAGAAACCCAGATTCTTGATTCTACCTGGAGAAGTGGCCAACACCACCACATAGGCCCCTTCTAGAAGTAACATCTGCATAGCTGCCATGACCATGTCTTCCATCAGACTCATCAGGTAGAAGATAAGAGATAAGATAAGATAAGATTTCGTTCGGATTTTTAACCCCGGAGGGTTAGCCACCCAGGATAACCCAAGAAAGTCAGTGCGTCATCGAGGACTGTCTAACTTATTTCCATTGGGGTCCTTAATCTTGTCCCCCAGGATGCGACCCACACCAGTCGACTAACACCCAGGTACCTATTTGCTGCTAGGTGAACAGGACAATAGGTGTAAGGAAACGTGTCGGAATTTCCACCCGCCGGGAATCGAACCCGGGCCCTCCGTGTGTGAAGCGGGAGCTTTAGCCACCAGACCACCGGGCCACCAGATGTTTATGACACAGCCAGCAGTGAAGCAGAAGTATACACAATACCATGCTGAGGTTGCAATAAGAACTATATGAGAGAAACTGGTAGAAATCTTTCCACATGTGTCCAAGACCACAAATATGCTTGCAATCAAGACAATACATGTATTGTTTATGTACACAGGTCAAAAGAGGGCCATCACATGCAATGGAATAATGCTGACGTGATCTACAGAGAACCTAACAGACAGGCTCCACTGTATTAAAGCCTCCATAATTGTTACTCTGATACCAAAGAAAAAAGGGCTGGCAACCGTATCATCTCAACTACTCTAGCACAAATGATACTTCTACATGATTCTTCATGGCTGCCACGTGACCCACCAATTAGATGGCCTCATGCCTTCACCCGACCATCACCAGCGACTTTCACTGTCAGGTACATATATACTACACTTTTTTCATTCTCTTGTATCATTTAGAGTGACCAAGGTCCCAGGAATAAAATGCATCCAATAAAGACATATTAAGTATATATGTCCTTTCATCCATATTGTCAGTATCAATGAGACTTGATCATCCATGGGGTTTCTGACAGCAATTTTTTTCTGGCTTGAATATTAACCATAACTTTTCATTCAAATTATGCTCAATAGCTTTCTTATGTCCAAATCTATTTATATTCTGGTCATTCTTGTTTGTGAATGTCAATGTTAACCAGATTAGAGTGACAAATATTACAAAGATATGATTTCTTCAAGACTTAATGAACCCAAGTCTGAAACAAAATGTGTTATGCAGACATAATTTTATTATTCATGGTTGCTAGTTCTGCAGGACTTCTAGGTTTTCCCTCTCTGCCACATTCCCTGTAAATTTGTGGGGACAATTGTATACAATAGTGAAAATATATAATTATATATTTTTTCAAAACTACACAGAGCAAAAACAAAATACAGTACATATTTACAAGATGTCTAATCTTACACTGTTTTTTATCCAATTAGCCTGACATCAATCCCAACGAAACAGGACAGATGTGTACTATACCTTATACTGTACAATATTAGCATAAATTCAACTGCATTACAGTGGTGTACCCTTGAAAGGTTATATAATGTAGGCACAGTCTACCTAGCTACAGTTTATAAACAAGTACAGTAATTATGTACTAGTATTGGTAAAAAAAACTAGTGTACCTTAATGAGGTGGTCCATGAGTTCCAGCAACTGGAGCGAGAGCTGGTCTAACCCATCACACAGTTCCTCACGGGACAGCTGAATACTGGCTGCCATTCTCCTTCACTTAGCTGTTGAAAGTATTAGTGGTAATGTGCTTCTTTGACAAAAACAAAATAAAAAAAAAATATATTGTAGTCTATACCTCTCAATATACAATGAATTAATAATAATACTGTATATTAATGGGGAAGCAATGAACCTGTAAGTCACACACTGCCTGAGAAATGGGTAGGTACAAAAGATTTGATCAGAGGAAGGGGAGTTTAGCTCCAAATCCTTGGATCAAGAACACTTCATCAGCATCAAGGTATCCCCTAGAAGGGAAGCAATATTATTTACAGATAAACAATATTTTTCTTTAAACATACCAGCTATACTCCACCTTGGTGGGGGAAGCCCCAAAAAGAAGAATTACATACTTTCACCATCATTCATTCAATCACTGTCTTGCCAGAACATGTTGACATAACAGCTCAGATGACCCTCCAATCTGCAATGACCATCCTCACATCACCTGAGTGCAGACACCATGCTTTCCACCTCCAGGACTCTAAAGTCCAGTTAACCGGTTTCCCTAAATTCCTTCATAAAAGTTACTGTGATCATACTCCAACAGCAAATTAAATCAAGAAAAACCACTCGCCTCCTCTGTGGAGAAATTATCCTCAAATCGGCAGCAAGCAGCACAGAGGTGCAGTGATCCCTCGGCAAGGAAGCCAAGACCCCTCTCTTTCTCACAGCCACATGAAGGTCAGGCTGTGAGATGGAGAGGATCATATTTCTTGCAAGATAGCATCCTAACTAACCAATTTTAAATCAGAGGGAGATTACATGTAGATAAACCAAATGGTCTTTGAAGATATCCTCTCAACCCAACACATTCAAACAAGCCTGCCAAATGTTGTAGCTTCTAGCACTCAAAACTCGTAATTATCTTGCACAAAATCTTCTCATCCACAAACATCATTAACAATAAACAAAATAAATCACCTAATAATTGCTGAACACTAACATTTGTCTCAATCAGTCAAAAGAACTATATACAGTGGACCCTCGACCAATGATGGCATCGATTAACGATAAATCCGACCAGCAATACATTTTAACGCAAAAATTTTGCCTCGACTAGCGCTAAAAAACTCGACCAACGCTATTTGTTCCGTCTGAGATGCGTCCACTTCTGGCCAGTGTTTACAAGCCAGCCAGCCACCGCGGTCACTTCCAAGCATACAATCGGAACATTTCATATTGTCACAGCCTTTTTAGTGATTGCACCTGCAATCACTATGGGCCCCAAGAAAGCTTCTAGTGCCAACCCTACAGAAAAAAGGGGTGAGAATTACTATGGATATGAAGAAAGAGATCATTGCTAAATATGAAAGTGGAGTGCGTGTCTCCGAGCTGGCCAGGTTGTACACAAAACCCCAATCAACCATCGCTACTATTGTGGCCAAGAAAATGGCAATCAAGGAAGCTGTTCTTGCCAAAGGTGCAACTATGTTTTCGAAACTGAGATCGCAAGTGATAGAAGATGTTGAGAGACTGTTATTGGTGTGGATAAACGAAAAACAGATAGCAGGAGATAGCATCTCTCAAGCGATCATATGTGAAAAGGCTAGGAAGTTGCATGAGGATTTAATTAGAAAAATGCCAGCAACTAGTGGTGATGTGAGTGAATTTAAGGCCAGCAAAGGTTGGTTTGAGAGATTTAAGAATTGTAGTGGCATACATAGTGTGATAAGGCATGGTGAGGCTGCCAGTTTGGACCAAAAAGCAGCTGAAAAATATGTGCAGGAATTCAAGGAGTACATAGACAGTGAAGAATTGAAACCTGAACCAAGTGTGACACTGACAATGTTGTGAAACACTAGGAATGTCATAAAGGAACGGGAGGTACAGGCCTCTATGGACAGATATGTTGTGCGACAGAGGTCCAGTGACTCTCAAGCTGATCCTAGTGGCATTAAAAGAAGAAGGGAAGTAACCCCGAAAAAGGACTTGCCACCTCAAGTCCTAATGGAAGGGGATTCCCCTTCTAAACACTAACACCATCAACACTCTCCCCTCCTCCCATCCCATCAATCATCACCAGATCTTCAATAAAGGTAAGTGTCATGTAACTGTGCATGTCTTCTTCAGTTTGTGTGTATTAAAATTAATATTTCATGTGGTAAAAATTTTTTTTTCAATACTTTTGGGTGTCTTGCATGGATTAATTTGATTTCCATTATTTCTTATGGGGAAAATTAACTCGACTAACGATAATTTTGATTAACGATGAGCTCTCAGGAACGGATTAATATCGCTGGTCGAGGGTCCACTGTATAGCCAATTTCCTGAACAGTATATACCTTGATGACAGTATATGCAACATCTGGGTATCTTTAATGTAGTTGTTTCATCATCCAGTGGCTTTATCAATACAAATTCTAGGACATAATTTGAAGACAGTTGAACTATATACAAAAGATGAGGAAATTAGCCCCTCAGCATTAGAGTTGGTGTGAAGAGCACCGTAGTCACGAATACGGTGCTCTTCAGTATATACCTTCAGTAACCAAACCTACAAGAACTACCGAGACTAGTGCAACTTTACTTAAAGCCATCTGGACAAATATACTAGACCGTCCAACAGCAGACATTATCACAGACAACACTACTGACTGATACTCTGCCTTAATAGTCAATTTAACAAAAACTAGTAAAATTTCTTCTATGTTTCATGATGAAACATCAGTGAATAATTTATTGTGTCAATCACTAACATTGACTGGCAAAGAAAATTGCAAAATGGCAAAAACATTAACTCAAGTGTTCCTGTATTCTGTCACATAATACAAATCTTTGAAAATAAAACATACCCATTAACAAGCAAACAGATGACAATAGACTAAACAGCCCATGGATAACCACTGGCATCCTGAGGTCCAATAATAATAAACACAGCTATGCAGAATTCAGTAGACATGTCCATATTTCTCAGGCTGTACCAAGTTTCAGTAATTGCAATAATATCTATGGTTCTTGTACATCCAATTAATCTTTCCTCATATATTTCTTGCACTCTGGCTACTGACACAGCAGATACTGAGAAAGTTTGTGGCTCACCTTTCTCCCCAGACTCTCTCTCTCTTTTTATATATAGACCAATTTAGTTTTTATCAGTAACTGTTTAAAGAAATATTCTGTTTTCTGAACTTTAACATATATTGAGAATTTTTTGCTCTCCTCGTCACTAATTAATATTATTTTAAACATGTTTATAATTAGCAGACACATACTATACTTAACAAAAGCAAAATAACTCATTGGAGATAACAAATTATAATTAAGTAACTTATTTATATTTACCTTAAACAAATTTCAAAGTTGAACCACAAACAAGAACAGTTCATACTCTCGATACAAAAAAATATATTACAAAGGAACTATTTTACTAAGAATGAAACTGCAGTAATAATCACCAACACTTTATGAAGCAAAAGGTAAGACTGATAATAGGTTCAATCTTACAGATATATTGTTAATAATAAGAGTGTGAGAGTCTGACCTGACTTCTTCTTGTTGTTGTTGTTGACCAGACACAGCTGATCACCACCTTGCTGCCACCACCCGGGGGAAAAAGCTCCTTCACTTACTAGTTCCATATATAAATTATGATACTGTAATGATAATATTACTTTTTTTTTTGAAGTGGTGGGTGGGTAAGCCAGTGGAAGGCCTCGGTCTGATGGCCAAAAGCTGCAGTGGTGAGTCATTAAGAACCCCAACTGAAATAAGTCACTCGACTTTTTTTTTTTTTTTTTTTTTTTTGGGGGGGGGGGTTATCCTAGATAATTTACACATATGTTACTATGTATGATAATTTGTACAGCTGTATTTATGTGTACTTGTACCTAAATAAACTTGCTTACTTTTCATAACTAAGACCATTGTCAAGAAACACTTGTCTTTTTTCCTGGTGATTATTACGTAACACACTCATCATTTACAATGGTCTTCAAGGTACACATGATATAACACACACATACATAATTTAATTAACTTTGGGTAATTCAGTAAAGTCACTGTCATTGTATTTTATTGTTAATTTCCCAGGCAAATGCCTAATGTCATATTATTCTCATAAATACTATAAATAAATGTGGTTATATCAAGAACGTTCATATTTGTTACATAATGTAGTTTCTTCCTAGGTAATATAAATCATACGTGTGGCAGTATAAGAGGAGTGGTTTTCAAGGCTACAATATTTACTGAGTGTGAAGGAGTCCTTCACTCCCTGACCTTCACTCCTGCATACAACCTACATGTTACACAGGACTAACACATCCAGGAAATACTGTTATAACTAGTTAGTTTAACATCTTTATCATGCACCCCAGACCCATCCTGTGGGAGGTAATCAAGAAGATTCCAGAGGTACATAATGGCTCCAGGAACTGGACTTTAAGGTTTTGATAGCTGAACAAGTTACAAAGGTAATAAACTAGGTAGTACTAAGATACAATATAGTTCTCGTCCAGGTCTAACATCCAGGAAGAACTATTATAACTAATCTGTTCACTAGTAACAACTGAACAATAATTACTCCAAGTAACTTAATTAATCAATATTTTTATATTGTATTTAGATCACACTAAGAAAGTAATTGAGGCAATTATATAACAGTTTTAATTTAAAAAACAATCGAAAATAATTATATTAGTCGCTAGTTTGTCATTTACTGGAAGAACAAGGGGGGCACAATAAGGATCTGGGTTCGATCATATGGGCCAGTTTTCTAAGAATTTAAATCCCCCTCGGGGAAAGGGTTCCTTGATAAAGGTTTGAGGGGCCTTGATTTGGGGAAGGGGGATCTTTTGCTCCATTTCCCCCAAATTAAGCCTGAATCCTTTCCACACCCCCCCCCCCAATTTTTTTTTTGTATAATCCTACGGGTTTAGCTTTTTCCCCCTTTGTTTTATAATAATAATAATAAAAATTTAAAAATTTGGCACATGACTACAAAAAGGGCTTCTTTAATGGGATTTAAAAGACACACACGGGTAAAATTTTTCCTCAAAAAACCTTAGTGGCCCGCCCTAACTGTTTTTTTTGGAACTTAGTGCTGGTGGAACTTGGGGCCGCTAAAAAGCCTTTTAAAACACATCATTTCCCAAACTAGTGTTTTTGCCGGAAAAGGTGAAGAGGGTTTAATTTTTAAATAAGGGATAAGCCAATTGCATCAAATTTCCGCCCAGAAAAGCCTGTGGTGAGGCGATTTTGTATCAGATTTTTTTGATTTTCCACCGAAGTTCCCAAAATTTATTTTTGCACCCCATACCCCTCCTGTGGACGGCGGGCGCAGAGAAATAGGGTTAAAACCAAAAAAGGGCCCGGGAAAACTGGGCCCAAAAGGGGTTTTAACAGGAATACAAATGGATTTATATCTACATATCTATAGTTCATTTATCTTTTTAAAAAGCAAATTTAGGAAATTTGCTTATTTAATCGGGTTATCTTTTTTTCATTAATAAGATTAATAATAAAAACATGATTTATACACCTGGAAAATCCAGAGGGACTATACCCAATTTGCAAAACGAAAATCACTCACAAAACGAAACAAAAGATTTGGCAACGTGAAACCTTCCCCCCAATAAAAAGGGGGGGTTGTCACTACCCCGTTAAGAACCCAAATTCCCAAAAAGGGTGCGGGGGCCCGAGCCCTGTTAAAACTGCCTCCCAGCAAAACATAAGGGGGTTTAAAACCCCCACAGACCCCTGGCAGTTTTTCAAGCGGCACTGGCAAGCCCCTAAAGTTTTTTCCCTGATAAACCCCGGGGCTGGGGGTTTCGACTTTTGGTTTGCGTCACCACAGCAACACCCCTGGTTGACCCAGGCTCTGATCCCCCAGGGGGCCCCTGGTAAACAAAACCGGGGCCGGGGGGCGTTGACCCCCAAAACTCTCCCCCGGTAAACCCGGGTATTTTGACATGTCCATAGGTTTTTTATACTGTCTGCCCTTGTTTTCCCTAAATTTAAAAGGGGAAAATTAAGCACATAGTTTTCAAAAAGTGACCATATGCCTGTCACATAATTTCCCATTTAGTTTGATAAATCATCTGTGTGTCCCCCCAAATTTCCCAAAAGACTTGAAACCCAAATCCAAAGGGCCTGGCCACAAACAACATCAGTCATCTGTTCACAGCAAGTTGCTCCATAAACATACTTATCTACTTTTCATTTAAATCATAGGGGGTTTTTATAGATCTAATCAGGCACCCAACCCTGCTTTCCCCTATAACAATCATTTTAAATTATTTACTTCTCTCCTAATTTTATTCTTAATGCTAGAAAACATTAAATCCCAAAATTATTTTCCCTACTTTCTCCTTCGGGGAAACTCTTTTTGGCTAACATATCAACTTTATCATAAAGGAGTAATCCAAGTGTGAGGGGTTTCCTAGCAATTGTACTTTAAATTCCTTTGTCCCAAATTTTTTGAGTATCTTTACCTGGGTTCCCCCAAATTGAGCTTTGGTGTTGGAGTCATTATATGGGGCCAAGAGCCTTCAATATGACATAGAATCAGTAATGATGATAGAGTAAAAGCTCATGTAAAGGGGTTAGTTTTAACCCGCTATTGGGATTGCAAAAAATTTCATTTCCCAGTGAAAGACGCCCGTTTTTAAAACCCTTAAAGCCAAAACGCAAAAAATTTTTTTAAACGTTCTTAACAGGGGGGTGGCAAAAAGAGCAATGCGGCCCTGCCAAAAGACTCCTTTTTTGATCCATCAGTTTTATAAACTTTGAAAATTTATTACTACCGCTAGGTGAGTTTTTTTTCTTCTTGGGGCGTTGCTCTAACAAATTTTTTAAAGGGGAAGGGATTACTAGCAATGAGCTTCTTGGGGGGGGACTTTGGGAGTGATATTAAATGAAAAACATTTTCCAGGGAGGGGGAAATCCTTTGCCTAAGGGGATACAGTTCATGCGGGTTTATAAAACTTAATGAAATTGCACTTTTCCCACAATCCATTTAAACCCTGTGTTATTTCCTCTAGACATTGGTAAGTTTTCACGTGACAGTGTCTGGTTCGTTTCCCCAACATTCTAATACCGAGTACAGTTTTAAATTTTCCCAAAAAATCCTATAACTGAACAGAAATCCCAAAGCTCCTTCCCCCATTTTTAAGAACGTTTGGGTAACGGGGAAAAAACAGCCAAAAATAATCCTGAGAGTTTCTTTTTTGCATTAACCCAAAGGGGTTGGGGGAGAGAACTTTCTCTAGCTAATTCAACGGGAGCAGCATAATAAATTTTAAGGACCAAACCCTGGGCTATGTACATCGGTCTAAACCAATTCTCACATTGGGCACCAATTTGGGGTTTTGTAGCCAGCAACACTTTACCGGGGAGTTTACCGGGAGAGATTTTCGGGAGAAACGCCCCCGCGGCCCGGTCTGTGACCAGGCCTCCGGGGTGGATCAGCGCCTGTCAACCAGGCTGTTCTGCGGGGCTGCACGCAACCAACGAAACGAGCCACACCCCCCGGCTGATCAGGAAACAAAAAACTTTGGGGCTTTTTCCCATGCCAGTTTGAAGACTGCCAGGGGTCTGTTGGTAATCCCCCGGGACGGGTTTTCAAAACATTTTTCGTTGACAATAAAGCAACTTAAAGGGAAGGGTTTGAGCCCCCTTTATAAACAAAAACCCTTTTAAAAATCAGGAACGTGAGGGTAAGTTTCCCAAAATATAAAAAAAAGAGTTAGAAACAAAAATACAAATAGCTAGAGTTTTCTTTTAAGGTTATTAATAAAAATACCCAAAGAGTTCCCTAGTAAAATTTGGGAAATAAAAAAAACCTTTCCCAAAAAAAATTTATGAAGCTGTGTGTAGTCTGTGGCCCGGGTCAAACAAACGGGTTTCCACATGGTTTAAATTGCCCATTTTTGGGGAAAATTGGTGCCCACGCCCTTTGGTGCGGGATCCCAAACTACAAACAAGCAGTTTTAAAACAGAGAAGTGTTTTTGGTATGCCCAAATGAGGAAAATCTGTGGACAAAATCACAAGGTTTTAAAAGGGGTTTAAACAAAGCGTTTTTCAAAGAAAACCGGGAAGTTTTCTAAAACCCAAGGGGAACATAAAAAGTCGGGGCTGAATGGTACTCCCCCCCTTTGATACGGCCATGTACCCAAACTTTAAGGCTGGAGGTAAATGTCCGGAGTCATAAAGGGGGGCGATAGCTGTCCGGGGACATTAAGGGTTTAAGCGGGAAAAAGCTTTTCCTGGAGACAGTAATGGTGAAGCGGGAGATTTGCCCCAGGTATGGGGAATTATACGCGGGAAGGAATACATATAAATGACCCCATAGAGACGGGAGCCATAGTAGGGAAACAATGAAAGTAAAAGAAAAGATAAAACCAATATTGAAAACTAAAAAATTACCGCAGGAAATAGCAAAAAAAAGGGGACTCCAAATAGAAAATAGTGAGGAAAAATTTAAACCAAAAAAACAACTGGGGGGAAAGCCCCATTTTTGGGTGCTAGGGAGGATAGGAATAAGACGGGGAAACATGCCCCAAAAGGGGAATAAAAGTCACAGAAACCCAAGGCAAACGGAAACCAAGCCGGGTCACAACTATGCATTTGGTATCTGCGGCCGGGGAAATCAGGAAAAACAGATGGGACATGCAACAAAAACCACCCTAAAAATGTCA